GAGAGAGAGAGAGAGAGAGAGAGAGAGAGAGAGAGAGAGAGAGAGAGAGAGAGGGCAGAGCGACTTGGGGGAGGTGTGTGTGTGTGCGAGAGAGAGAGAGAGAGAGAGCATCGTGTACTGTGTTGTGTGGTTTTCTAGAGGTGTTGAACCACCAACAGTGGTGGGAAGAGCTATCCCCGCACACAATATCATGGGATGTTGTGTGTTTCCAGTAAGGGCACAGAGGTCACATTCCAAGCTTGTGGAGGGGCATAGAATCATTCTTTTGCAGCTCAATGTGAAAGACAAGTGAGACTTCCAGGGACTCTGATAAGGCAATGGCTTCAAGCTTCTTGTAGTCGTTAGCTGTTTTATATCTGCAGTCATGGAATTTTGGACAGAAGTTGGCAGATGGGCATGGTGTAAAGTTGGGGGGAAAGTTGACTATGAAAGAATCGGAAGATATGTTTTTCTGAATTTTTCTCGATTTATGCCAAGGCTGCATACCCGGTCCCACCGGGGGGCCCTCCCCCCACCGGAACTGGGCCAGTTGGACCGGCCGGTGGACTGCGCCGGTTCCCCCCCGCGCATTTCGAATTGGGGGGGGGTTCGATTTTTTTTGGGGTCTGGGAGGCCTCCATGCAGGTCATGGAGGCCTCCCGGACCCAAAGAAAACCAGACCGTGTCCAGTAGGGCCGCCAAAATCTTGAAAAACTGGCGGCCTGTCTGGACCGTCGATCTGGTGAGATCGGCGGCCCAGATAGGCCGCCTGTTTTTGAACATTCGGGCAGGAAACCGCCCGAAGATAGGCTGTCCTTCAAAYACCCTCCTGCCTCCGAACTCCTCCCGCTTTGCAGATGTGCACCCCGTTTGCTTTGGACGTCGAACGCAATCGAGCTGGAGACGTCGTCGCCCAGCCCCCGTCCGCCTCGGCCTCCGTGGATTCACAATCGCCCTTCCCGCAGTCGAGATTTCCCTCCATCGGTAAGCATCTTTTTCTTGTGGTAAAGCTCTGGAACGGGGACTTCTGCGCTGCGTTGAGAGAGAGAGAGAGAGAGAGAGAGAGAGAGAGAGAGAGGGTATGGGCGAACGCGGGAAATAGCAGGCAGACAGAAAACAGCGGGCGTTCATGGGAAGTAGCGGGCCCGTGCGTCAGAGGGAGAGAGGGAGAGAGAGAGAGAGAGAGAGAGAGAGAGAGAGAGAGAGAGAGAGAGAGAGAGAGAGAGAGAGAGAGAGAGAGAGAGAGAGTTTTCTCAGAAAACAGCGGGCATTCGCGGGAAATAGCGACCCCCCCCCCCCCTCCTCTTTACCCCTGTGAAAAACGTTCGCAGATCATAAATTTCTTTTCAGATTCGGGGAGATCTCGACAAGCGCAGTCCAACCCCGTCGTCAAAAAAAAAAAAAAAAAAAATTGACCCGGTCGGTCCCTTTTCTATTCTTTTCTGCAGATGTAGCTTCTCTTTTTGTTTGTATAGGTCTCATAAATATACCAATAATGAAATTCTCTGTAAATTGGTGAAAGACTTTGCATCAACCTTCTAGTATTAGCCAATTTGGTACATCAATACATCTTTCTATGCTGATACCCAGTCTTACCTCTACTCGGTAGTTTAGTAGCAGGCGTGTTTGGTCGCTTTCTTGGTTCACGAGGGGCTGCCTTGGTAACAACCACTTGTGTTTCAATTTCTTCAGGTCTGTGTTTCATAGCTTTTTATGAGGTTGCACTGGGAGCCAGTGCTTGTTATATCAAATTCGCACCATGGATTTTGTCAGAAATGTTTGATGCTTCTTGGGGTTTTCTGTTTGATACTCTGACTGTGGGATGTCCGGAAGGACGAATCGGAAGATTCTGAGGCAAGCACAAACGGGGAAGTGGAGACTTGATGGGAATGTGGAAGATCATGATGTAGTCAGAACTTGAAAAGCGGACCAAAAAAAAAAAAAAAAAAAAAAAACTTAGAAAGCAGTGGTGGGATGAAAGTCGGGATCCCTGCAGCAGAGATCCTCTCATGATGGACCTGATTGTGTCTTTTCAAGACTGAGATATCAGGAAGGATTTGAACAACGAGGTTGGCAAGAGATAAAAATAGCTCCGTTGTAAAAAACTCGTAATGTATCTGACAGCCGGAAGTGTCTGAAGTGTCCAGGTGCTTCTTGTACCCCTGCAAAAAGAATATAAGATGAACATGCTCGGCGACCGAAGTGCCCGTACGACAAGGCATCAACTGGGGCTGGGAGGGGTGTCCTGGCCTAGCACTGGTGCCTGCAACAGCTGTCCGGTATATCCGAGGTACGTGCCGACAGTGGCCCCGAAGATGGAGAAGCAGGGGTTACGCCAAGGAAAGAGGAACGTTGAGGCAGCAAGGGGTGGGTCCTCGGAGCACACACACACACAAACACATTAAATATTGAAAAAAAAAAGTAATAGAAGAAAAGAGAACTGTTTTTGCTGAATTCCATCCCTGCAAGGTATGAATCTGAGTTACCGTCTTCTTTATTCGTGGGCATTTTCTTTTAGCTTTCTTTTTTTTGCTTTTTTCATACTTTCTTGGGGTTCTTCTGAACAGGAAGCTCTTTTTTTTTTCTTTTTTTTTTTTTGCCTTCTCTTTCCTTGAAGTACCGTTCCAATTCCCGATATTTTCACTCTGAAAAAACTGGTTGACCCTGTCAGCGGGACCGATGTCAGAAATTCAGAGTATGATATGAAGTGAGAAACCAATGAGGGTGATATCAGTAGTATTCAGTACCAGCTGAGGAATGCTGCTGTAGGGTCCTTTCTATTTTTTTCAATTCTTAGTCGAGGTGTGTGTGGTAGGGGTACAAAGGCACCAGCTGATGACTGATGGGACGGAGCTGAGCCCATTAAACCACCACTACCTTTCCAAGCTGTAGTCGCATTTGGGAAAATGACCCCAACCGCAAAGGTCGGGGATACAGGCGAGGGTTGGCAAAAAGAAAAAATTGGGCCTTATGGGCCTGACTGGAGAAAAAAAAAAAAAAAAAAAAAAAACTGCAGGGTTGAAATGAAGGACGTCGGGGAAAGCCACGAAGGAGGTGTGCTCACAGTACTGCCTCCAGGAATGCATCTGCCCAGAATCATCGATAGTTTAGTTTTTAGTTTTTTTTGTTTTTAATTTTTTTTCTTTTAATGTAGTTTTAGTGCCCCACTGCCCTGCCAACGAGGCAGGGTGCTTTCCACGGACGGCTGATCCCCGGCGTACCTTTGATCCGTTGAGCGAGAGCCCTTCCACACGGGAAACCCCGGATCACTATGGCCGACTTTTGTCTCTGTTCGACTTGTAGGTCTCACAGTTAGGCAGGCTTTGACCATTACGCTCTACAGCTGCGCAAAGCGCTAGCTTGAAGA